AGGAATCATCATGAACTTATCTTGCAGTCATCTTTTGTAACATACCTTTTCCAGTTCTGTCTTGTGTACTGGTGAGCTAGATGATGGTCCATCTGAGTCTATAGCTCCTGTACAGTTGTTGCAAACTTCTTTTATTACCTTAAAAGAAATGCAAAATGGCTTCATTGACAAACAAGTAAAAAAAGAAAGTTATATTTCACTGGAAAAGCAGCTTTATTCAAGATGAATCATATGAGTATTTGCTGTCCTGATGGTTAAAATAGCAGCCTTGTGGAAATCATTCTCTTTATCCATAGGCAATGTGTTGGGCAGGCTGCCACTGCATGAGCTTCTCCACATTGCCTCACTAAGTTATTTCATGAATGACCTGGAGGAGCCATAATGTCTAGAGGTGAAAGGTTTCAGTTTCTAGACTAGCTAAGCTCCAAGTCTCTCCTGAATAAAAAAAACTGCCCAAACTGCTGATTTCTGTGTGGTAGTTTTGCAACGTGAACTCAGCTGACACCACCAAATTAATTTCATTATGACTAAAAAATGGGATTAGATCCAAGGTCCCCAAAGCCAAAGGACAACACTTCTGCCTAATACACTACCCAGCTGCTCCTTTTCTTAATGAAGAAAGAATGATGTGCTGGCCAAATTACTGAACTCTCTCTGATTCTGTTGAGTGCGTGGTTAGTATTTTTTCATATTAATTGTATAACGTTTTACCAGTAACATTGACAAAGAAGCAATGAACCATGTCAATTTAAATATATTTTATGAAATGTGAATTATGGTATGTCTTTGAAATATTGAAGAAAACCCAACAGATTACAATTTACAGAAGGAGATACTTTTTCAAAAATCTGATGAAAAGGATGAGGTTTTTTATATCTTGTTTTCACTAGAGACACTGTTTGGTTTTAGCTCCTAGGTGGGGCTGCCTACTATACTTCAGCCTGTGGTATCTGGTACTGATAGGCACACTACTTGTGGAGTACAAAGGAAGGGCTGTTCTCGAGTTACATCAAGAAAAACCACTATGTAAAAGCACCTTCTTAATTAACAGATCTACCCCCTGCATGTCCTCAAAGTCACATGGCTAAAAGTATGTTGTTTTACTGTCCTTTGCACCATTAGCACAGAAGACCCAACTCAGCCGAGAAAGAACAGGGTTTTCGGTTCTGCCTGAGACCTGTGAACCAAGTTCCAATTCTAGGGCAAATTTTACCATTACTTGGGCTTGTGACCTCACCTATTTTTTAGCTGATTGCAGCACTTGGTCCACAGAACATTCACTCCCATAGGAAGTCCGTATACAGGAACACTAACTTAATTTTTAGGTCCCAGTTTCTTCTGGCTGACTTAGAAGTGTTTTTTTGTAAAGTGAGCAAATCCAATATGGAAACCATTAAGACACAACAAAGATGGCACTGAGTAATGTAATTTTGTAACTCCATTTTAAGAGTTGACCTCATAGTTTATATAGTACTATTGTTGTACCATCTGAGCACATCACAATTTAAAAGAATTTATCCATGAGACATCCCCAAGAGGAAAGATAGTACCAGCAACCCCATTTTACCAAAGAGGAAGTAAGGATCAGAAAAATGAAGTGACTCTCTCCAATCTCATAGAAACCGTGCTACAAAGCACTGAAATAAACTCAGGCTTCCAGAGTCTCATACTTGGATCTTAAACAATGTCTCATGCCCGGGGCCCATCTCAGATACAGTTGCTAGACCATATATTACCCATGCAGTCTCCATCTTGAAGTCTGGCTTCAACTCTTCCTCTCTCTCTTTTTAATCATGTTTTGTGAACACCACTTATCAATAACTTTGGCAGTAAGAACAGGGATGGATATAACTTAGTCAGATTTTTTCCTTTCTGCTTTTCGAATATTCATTCCGATTAAACTTTTTCCACAGTAAAAAGATCATCATGTGGGGAAATGTACCATTTACACATTCAGGTAAGGTCAATCCTGCTTCCCCTGAAAATGAATTTATCATATATTTTTGAGGGATTTTTCCCCCCTCTTTGCTTCAGTTCAGTGGAAATGCATTTGTGTTTTATTTGTAAGAAATTTGACTACTCGGTTTCTGGGAACATTCATTCCTGTCTCCTGCATGACCCTGATACAATGGCTCATGTTTTCAGCATCTGCTCACACCACACAGTTAGTTAATTTTGGCAGAGGCAAAGAGTAATGGAAGTTACAGACAGAACAGAGGGAAATGATTTGGCAGCAATCACAGAGTACTATGTGCAAAGTCATGCACTCGAGTAAATACTGTTCTTGTCATACCTCACATATTTAAGAAAAAGCTTTCCTTGTGTGTTTTCTTGGGTTGTAATTAAATTTTGATTTTAAAAAATGGCACACCATCAAGTGGCTTTCATGTCTGAATTTGAAGCAAAGGCACATTCAAGAATTCATTTATAGGAATATTTTTGGTACTAGTGATTCACTGGCTAGTGCATCAATCCCCGTGTGCAAAATTAATGTTTGATATACATATAGTGTGAAATTGTACTTAAATGCCTCCATGAGACAAAATATGCTCCAGTACGGAATAAGTGCGCCCTCTATAATTAAGTTTGCAGAGACTTGTCATTATAATGCTGATCTCACATGCTCATAGTTCTTACTCAAAACTCTGAGTATAAAACAGGCCATGCGTGCTGCCAGCTCACATGATTTTATTGGAAGGTTCCTAGACTTTCTCTGTATTCTTACAGTCCCACCTCGTGGAGTCATACGAATGCATGAGAATCTCAGCTTGGACTGGAAAAAAACCCAGTAATACTTCTAGTCAGACCACAGGTCCATCACCTAGCCCAGCATCCTGCACCTTACAGTGGCAGAAAGCAGATGCTAAGGGGGAAGGGTATTTATGTGGGGCCTATGCAGACTGATCTGTCCCCTCCTCCTCTTTCCTTATTGCTTCTAGTATTTAGAGGCCTAAGAAGTCCTAATTTGGAGCCTGCAGCCCTTACTCATGCTTACTGATAGACCTTTTCTCCATCAAAATGTCGAATCCTCTTTTGAATTTAAATTGTCAACCTCTACAACATCTTGTGGCAATGAGTTCCACAAGGTATTTACATGGTGAATGAAAAAAAAAACACCTCCCTTGTGTGTCTATTAGTTGTAGCATTGTGAAAGATGGCACATGGTAAATCTCTATTTACTTCCTCTATGCCACATGTCATTTTAGAGACCACTGTCAAGTACCTCTTCAATTGTCTTTTCTTTGATCCTTTTCTCTAAACTTTTTTGACTCAAGGCACTTCTCATAAGGCTCATAGCCTCTGACAGAAAATGCCTTTTCTTAGCTTTCATTTGTTCTTTGCAGTTCATTTCCAGGCTGAAGTAAAATAAAATTAAAGAAAAAAAAAATCTCTATTGCTGCTGGTCAGGGATACTGGGGAGGAGGGGGTGGGGAAGAGGACTCTAATGGAGCTAGCAGTCAACAAGAGTGATTTTAGTCCATATATATCCCCTTTTAAATTCCATCTGACAGTCAGCCAGAACAACCCCCACACATCCTGTCCTGTGTTATTACCATGAAGACAATTGCTATATATGGCAACTGGATCAGACAGTTCTGTGAAAGGAGTATTCTGGGACAACTCTGTATTGTAGCTTTAGGCATCACATTGTTGCTAGAAATACCAAGGTCTCATACCTTCCTCTACTCCCCCCACAGTGAAAAACTGCCTATGCAGCCCAAGCAGCCCTTGGATGCAGCTACCATTTCAGACTGCAGTGCTCCACCCCTACTAATTTAAATAAGTTTCCAAAAGTGGATGTTTTAATACTCCATTCTACCAAAAAAACCCATGAACTAACCAACCACTGAAGTGTCTGAGGGAAAGAAAAAATGAGAAAGAACAGAGTATTGTCCAGTGGTTAAAGCAGGTGACAGAACATCAACATTTTTGGATTCTCCTTCTGGATCAACTACACACTACGCGGCTTAACCAAAGCATTTACAGTGCAATTGCACTCTGAAAAAAATGAAGTCGATACGTGGTCATGTAAAAATAACATGGTTATTTCCCCATTTGTTGAGTAGCAGCAGCACACTTGTCCCCAGGGAAACAAACATCCACGTTCATGTGGATGTGGCCTCTGTATTTGTCTTGTGAATGGTGTAGGTGCTTGCACATCAGCAATGTTAATATTGTGCAGCAGCCCCCAGACCCTTAAAAGGATTCTGCGCCATCTCATGGCACAGTGGCACCCTGATTGAAGCCACAGACACAGACTAAGTTTCTCTTGGTCGGTGCTACCACAAGTGCACAGATATTTAGGAGTTTTCCCCCTACAGCAAAAATGGCTGCTCTACGAGAAAAATAACCCAAGAACTACCAAGGTTAAATCACTACCAGGAGAGTTTAGCCTGGGAGAGAAAATGCCAGTAAACTGCTGTGGCTTCTCTCAGAAGAAAACGTAGTACTCCAGCATCCCCTGTACCCCCAGGAGACAGTGTAGAGAGCAGAACATGTCCCCTTCACAATTCCCACATTGTGCTGCAGGGAAACAGGCTAACCACGGGCAGTCTAAATCAGCCACTCGGGACTGCCCATTGCCAGGCAGACTAACAGAGACCTCAGAGCACACTGAGATGTGTGCGTAGGGCGTCACCTCCCGCATACCTGCCCCGCTGCTGCAGTGTCAGCACTACAAGCTCTCCACTCTTTGGGGCCTCAACATTCGAGTATCGGTACACACAGCTCTGGGTACATTTTTCTACCCAAAAAAAAAAGACTTGGGAGAATTCTCCCAGATTATTTGAATGTGTACGCAGCCTGAAAATGATCATTTTAAGCAAAACCATTCCAAGTCTCACACTGGAGTAAAAGAAAACCTACGCTGAAAATAAGATTGTAAAGGCCTTATTGTCTTAATGCTTGGGGATATCTGAGTCAGAAAGAGAACAACCTGACTGTCATGGGACAGAGCATGCAAAGGACGCTGCCATTCGCTTTAGTTGTAAACTGAGGAAATTTATATGAAACAAGTAGAGATTCACAGTCTGTGTTTACAAGCTCATTTCCAGACAGGGCTGTGCCCCAGTGACTTTTGTGTGCCACAATTTATCACTTAAAAAACTTGGGATAAAAGCCTCTTAAAATAACTTGAT